GTGGAGCTGCATGAAGTAAGACATAACAAAACACATACAATTTCACTAAAGTTATCAAATTTGAGGGTATAATTGGCGATAGCGTTTCTTTATTATTTTTTTGACTGTTGATAGGATAAGTAGTGTTGAAGTTTCTTATTTTGTCATTGTTGTCTGAGACAGAATCTAACTATGCAGCCCAGTCTGTCCTGGAACTTTCTATATAGCCTAGGTAGGCTTTGAACTCATGATCCTCCTGCCTCAGCCTTCTCATCACACTGGCCCCACTTTCACTTCTAATATTGGTAATTTGTGTCTTTCATTCTTTTCTTTCCTAAATTTGTCTTTTTTTTCTGTGCTTCCTTTTTCTTCTTTCTCTGCCTTCCTTTCTCTTTTTAATCTTTTCTGCCTGCCCTTTCCTTCCTTCCTTCCTTTCCTTGTTTCCTTTCTTTCTTTCTTTCTTTCGAGGTCTGATAGTTTCTTTCAAAGAATCAGCTTTGGGTTGCACTAATTTTTTTGTTTTCCTATTTTTAATTTCACTTATTTCTGTTCTCATATTTTATCCTTTCCTGCTTGTTTTAGACTTAAATTGCCTTCTTTTTTCTCATTTCACAAGGTGAAAGCCCAGATTGATTTTAGATCTTCCTCTTTTCTAATACAATATATGCATTTAATGCCATACAATTTCCTGTGAGCACAATTTTGCTGCATCCTACAAATTTGGTAAGCTGCATTTTCATTTAATTCAAAAATAATTTAACATTTCTGTTGTGAATTCTTCTATGATTCATGTGTTAATGAAATAGTGTTTAATTTTCCAATATTTTGAGATTCTTTCATACGTGTCATTGGTTTCTAGTTTAATTCCACTGTGACCAGAGTTTTTGTTTATGGCTCTGTTTTACATTTGTTCAGGTATATTTTATGGCACAGTGTGTGTTTTATCTTTACTGTTGCTAGGTGAAGTGTTTTATAAATGCCTATTAGATCAAGTTGGTCGATGACAGACTTGGGCCAACTATAACTTTTACTGATTTTCTGCCTGCTTGATTTGTCAGTTACAAAAAAAAAATGGTTGTAAATCTAACTATAGTAGGATTTATCTATTGCTTCTTGGAGAAAGATAATGTCTTCTTGGAGCATGGACTCCTTTATTATTTAATGCCTGACTTTATCCCTAATAACACTATACTACGTCAACAGTACTACATAACAGGGAACAATATCCCTCATAAAAGTAGACATGACAATTTTCAACAGACCATAGTAATCCCTTTATATGTGGGGATATTTTCAGAGACACCTCCAGTGAATGCCATACAGAATCCTGTGTGTATGGCTCCTTCCCGTACATACATATCTTCATAAAGTTTAACTTACAAAGTTGGCACAGAAAGAGATTGGTAAAAACTAATACAAATGTAACAATCCATAACAACATACTGCAGTACAGGTTATATGGATGTGATGGTATTTTACTGCACTTTCACCTTCTCACTTAGCACTTGTCAGCCTCCCTCTGGCATATCCAAATCGCCAGCCTCACTCCTCTTGGGCACTGGCACAAGTATTAAGTGAAATACCGGTTACCTGAACACAAGTGCTACAGTGACAGATGTTCTGATAACTGACATGGCTACTGAGTGATTGAAGTAGGGGCAGTGATGCAGCCACCCAACCTGGCAGGATGATTCACCTCCTGAGCAGGATGAAGCCAGACATCACCAGATTTCTATGCAACCCAGAATGGTGAGCACTGTTTATATTGGAGAGATTTCATTTAATACTTTTGGACCACAGTTGACTACAAATAACTGAACTCATGGAAGATGAGACCAAGGGTGGTGGGGGCCTACTATGTCAGCAAACCCAGAAATATAAACCAATAAAGGTCTGGGAAGGTGGCTCAGTGGTAGAGCGCTTGCCTTGCATGCCTGAGGCCCTGGGTTCGATTCCTCAGCACCACATAAGCAAAAAGAAAAAACCCGGAAGTGGCGCTGTGGCTCAAGTGGTAAAGTGTTAGCCTTGAGCTGAAGAGCTGAAGGACAGCACCCAGGCCCAGAGTTCAGGCCCCACGACCGGACCAAAAAAAAAAAGAAATATAAACCAATAAAAATGAAGTTGCTCAGTGATACAAGTCATTTAGTATTCAAAAAATCAAACTTACAATCCTCTTGCCTCAGGGCTAGGATTACAGGTGTACACCACCGTGCCCAGCTCACTGTTTACATAATCCTTTTGAAATGATAAAAGGTTCTATTGTTCCTTAGGCATATACTTTAGTTCCTTGTCATAAAGATTTTTCTTTTTAAATCCTGGTCATGAAGTTTGAACTCAGGGCCTGGATGCTGTACCTGAGGTCTTTTGCTCAAAGCCAGTACTCTACCACTTTGATCTACAGCTCCACTTCCTGTTTTCAGGGTGGTTAACTGGAGATAAGAGTCTCAGAGACTTTCTTGGGCTGGCTATGAACTGATCTTCAGATCTCAGCCTCCTGAGTAGGTAGGATTACAGGAGTTAGTCCCAGCACCCTGCTATAAAGATGTTCTTGAGCCGGGCGCCGGTGGCTCATGCCTGTAATCCTAGCTACTCAGGAGGCCGAGATCTGAGGATTTCGGTTCAAAGCCAGACTGGGCAGGAAAGTCCGTGACTCTTATCTCCAATAAACCACTAGGAAACTGGAAGTGGCACTGTAGCTCAAGTGGTAGAGCGCTTGCCTTGAGTGCCCAAGCCTAGAGTTCAAGCCCCACGACCGACCCAAAAAAAAAGATGTTCTTGATTAGTCCAGTCCTTCCCAGAACCCAAGTTGATTGTAAAGTGACTAACAGAGAATGGCTTAGAGCAGAGACATAGACAACAAGGAGACAGGGACATCACTTTTTCTACTGCCTTTAATCTGTAGGGCCAGCAGAAATAGCTTTTCAGCACCTCTTAAAATTGTGAGGGCACACGCACGCACACATACACACACAATGAGTGCATGCAAATACTGGTTGCCTGTGAGTAAAATCTTTCATGATTGTACTTATGTCAGTTTCCTATTTTGACACCGTAGCTTTGAATGGTGTCACCACTGGAATAAACCAGTATAGGAGACCTTTCTGTACTATTTTTGTAATTTCCTCTGACTATAATCATTTCAAAATTTTAAGAATAATAGTTTTTAACTGTGAGAAAAGACCTCTGAACTCCAAAATTCTTCTGGTAGGCTGCAGGTGCACAAAAACTGAACCATTTAACTGCAAATGTAGATGCCAAAATAAAATAAAATAAAAAGGTGACTCAGAACAAAGTCAAAGGCAGAGTCAAAACTCCCTAGCCGGAAAAAAAGGGGACCAGTGGGGATGATCAAACACCTTATCCACATGTATGAAAATGTGAATAATGAAATCCATTGTTTTGCACTATATATATATGAATATGAATATACGTATATATGTGTTTATATTGTGTGCATTTATGTATGTATTTGTATGTGCTAGTCTAAGGGTTTGAACTCAGGGCCAGGGCACTGTCCTGAGTTCTTTTGCTCAAGGCTAGCACTCTACCATGTGAGCCATAGCTTCACTTCTAGCCTTTTGGATGCTTAATTGGAGATAAGAGTCTTATGAACTTTTCTGCCCAAGCTGACTTTGAGCTGCAATCTTCAGATCTCCCAAGTAGCTATGATTACAGGCATGAGTCATCAGCACCTGCAACATATAAGTTTTTAAAGAGAAAGAAAAAAAAAACTAAGATGATTTTGTATACAAATCCACAAGTTGATTTTAAAATGTACAAGAGGGCTGGGAAGGTGGGTCAGTGGTGGAGTGCTTGCCTTGCATGCCTGAGGCCCTGCTTCGATTCCTCAGCACCACATAAGCAGAAAAGGCCAGATGTGGTGCTATAGCTCAAGCAGTAGAGCATTAGCCTTGAGCTGAAGATCTGAGGGACAGCGCCCAGGCCCAAAGTTCAGGCCCCACAACCAACAAAAAAATAAATTAAAAACAAATAAAATGTACAAGAAAGGTAAATGAAATACAATACCCAAAATATGATATTGTGTGTGTGTGTGTGTGTGTGTGTGTGTGTGTGTGTGTGAGTATGTGTGTGTCTTAGGACTTGAACTAAGCGCCTGGGCACTATTCCTGAGCTTTCTTGATCAAGACAAGTACACTATAACTTGACCCACAGCACCACTTATGACTTTTTTGGGTGAATCATTGGAGATAAGTATCTCAGAGACTTTCCTGCCTAGGCTGGGTTTGAACCACGATCCTTAGATCTCAGCCTCCTGGATAGCTAGGGTTACTGGAGTAAGTCACCAGCACCTGGCCCAAAAGATTCTTTTAAAGGAACAGAAAAGCTGCAGAACTTACTAATTTCAGGTGTTACCGTAAAGTTACAGTAACCAAGGTAGATTATAAGATTTACTTTAAAAGAATCAAAAGGAAAAGTCATGCTGTATAGACTAAAGATCAGAGCAGAGTCAATTGACTTTTTTTTTTTTCAGTTGTGGGACTTGAACTTTGGATTTTCTAGTGGTTAATTGGAGATAAGAATCTCATAGACTTTCCTGAGCAAGCTGGCTTTGAGCCATGGTCCTCAGATCTCAGCCTCCTGAGTAGCTAGTATTACAGTGTGAGCCACCAGCATGGGGCCTTCAATTGACTTTTTTTTAAGACATGATCTCACTGAGTAGCCCAAATTAACTCTGAACTCAAAATCCTCCTGCCTCTGCCACCCAAGCATTAGAATTATAGGTATGTGCTACCATACTCTTATTGTATGTTAGTTTTTTTGTCAAGTTGAATATATAATTACTATATGATCCAGTAATTATATTCCTAGATAGGCATTCCAATGAAATAATCTGTATCCCAGCCAACCTCTCTCTAGTGCTCGCTCCTTTAATCCTCTTTATATTCAGAAGGCTGAGATCTGAGTTTCATGATTTGGAGCTAGCCAGGCAGGAAAGTCCGTGAGACGACAACAACAACAACAAAACAAAAAGAGGGATAAATGCCCTGCGGCAGGGGTAGGTTGTAACACTGCTGCCTGTGTGCTTCTCCCCTGCCCCACCATACTTCCTGGAGACCCAACCCTGCTGCTGTCACACATTTCAGTGATGTCACAGCTCCCCTGCCCAGCAGCTCAGCAGCACCCATGAGATGCCCAGGCCGAGTGCTGGCTCAACTGAGAGAGGCAGGGCGCAGGCAGTGCCCAGGCCAGTCTTGCTTTTTCAGGAGTTGAGGCCTCACAGCCACAGCATGAGTCCATCCGAAAAGAAGAGGCCCAAGAATATAGTGATTTTCAAGGTCAGATTTTTGACTGGAGTCTGGGTGATTTCCTTAGAAAGGGCCTTAATAGAGAATGCAGCCTTAACCAGGATGGGGGCTTTCCAGTCTAGGGAAGAGAGAAAGATAAAGGGTGAAAAGAGATCAGGAGCGCTCAAATGAGTTCTGTCTCCAAACTAAGATGATTAAAACTCCCATCTGGGGTTGGTCAGGTTATCTCAACCAAATGGAGTGGCTTAATAGAGATGTTGGGGAAATGAGGATTCCTCCTGACTCACTCTGTCTCTGTCTCTGTCTGTCTGTCTCACTCTCAGATCCAAGAAAACAAACTGCAGGACAAGACAAAGCAACCTGCCAGCAAACTAATTGAACGAGACCGACTTAAAATGGTGAGAGGCCCCATTCTGGCCCCAGGGTGGGGGAAGCTGGGTCCCCTACTCCATGCTGCCCCTGGTTACCTACCAGGTTGCCAAGTGGAATAACCCAGAGGAGTCAGCAAACCCAGCCCTGCACCAATCTGAATCAGGGGGGGAGGGGAGTAGAAGGCTATCCCAGGACAAGTAGAGCTATTTTCTCATTTCTCACCCCTCCTAGGTGTTAAGAAATTTGTCGTTCTTGAAGCTACTAAAGAGCTCGAACCATCGGATCCAAGAGCTGCATAGCTTGGCTAGAAGGTGCTGGAATTCAATAATCAGAGTTCCCAAGATGCTCCAAATCTCCTCTGGGTGAGCTTAGCCTACCTGTGACCTACACAATGGCCCCACTAGCTGTCTTTACTGGGATGAAGCACTGTGCTAGGGAATTTAGAGTGTAATGTTCACTAAGGCTCCACATCACAGGCATTTTTGTACCTATTTTACTGGTAGAGGGACTGAGGCTCAAGAGGTAAGTGATTGTGCTTAGTTAAACTGACCTGGTAAGTGGCAGAGCAAGGATCTGAAGTCACTCCTGTCTGAAATCAGAGCTGTCAACATAACAGGGGTCATCCTCCTCCTCCTCCAATTATGGGAATAACCACAATCTCCATGCTGTGTATGGGGGAGAGGTCACTCTCATCAACCGAACTCTAGCCTGCAGACTGGCCACTGAAGTCTGAGGATCGGTACATCTTGCTGAGGCTGTTTCCTCTTAAGTCACATCAGAATGTTAGGAAATTTTGAGCTAGTATCTGCTAAGGACAGCTGTAGTGCCAAATGCTTTAGAAGTATGTGCTCATTTATTTCCCAGTTTCCCTAGAAGCCTGTGCCCCACAAGCCACTGCCTCCTCCTTAGCAGAACCATCATGAGGACACGGTGGTCCTCCTCCTCATCACACAGCTGGGGGGAAGTCTTCCAGCCCCTCTGGGCTCTTCCCTTTGATTTGGCTCCCTCCCTAGGTATAGGCATTCAGGAAACAGAACTGGCAAGAGTAGAACCACAGCTCCATACTTTTGCAAGCTTATTGTTTTTGTCAAAGCAGTGGAACTTTTCAAACATCTCTAAGTTCCAACTATGTTGTTGCTGGGGGGTTACCTTGCCCTCATCCTGCCCTCACCCTAGGGCAGATGGAGGCAGTGGAAACCCCTCCACAGAGTCCTACGGTTTCTTGGAAACCAAGTAGAAGGAAACACTGGACCTTTCCCTTCTAGACTGAAGTGCAGAGGCAGAAAAGCCTAACCTAATGGCACAGGTAGGCTATATATTCCTAGTATCCAAACTACTGGTCATTAGCCTCTGCCATGCCTTCCCTGCAAATGAATCATACCTTCCACCACCAGGCCCCTGGGCAGTAGAGAAGCTTCTTTTCAGGCCCGTTCCCCTGAGTGGGCCACATACAACTCTGTCAGGATTAGACTAGAGGACCAGGGCCTCTTTCTTTGCTGACAGCCTTTCCTCTCCCTGCAGGGACAGTGTCTGCAAGAAAGTGAAAGAAAAGAAGGAAGAGCTCCAGGAGGCTGGGTCCCTGAAAAAGCAACTGGAGTCCCAGAAAGTGGAGTCCATAGGGGAACCTAAGGAGCTAAGGGCCAAGGATTGGAAGCCCAAGGTGGAGTCAAAGCTGGAGAACAAGGCAAAAGAGTCACCTGTAGCAGTGCCAAGAAAACAGGATCCTGAGGGTGCAAGGACATCAAGGGGTGTTGGGCTGAGAACTGGAGTCCAGAGGAGGCAGATCCGCCCTAAGGGTCCCAGAGTCCTCTTCTTGAAGGCCTATCATCACCGAACTCCCATGGGAGACAAGAAGCAGCTGGGTGTGGGTGACCAGTGGGTCTGGTTTGATGGACTGCCCACTCGAATCCATGTCCCAGGGCCTCGGGTCATGTGCAGACCCTCTAGCTTACGCTGGGCTAAGCGCTGCTGCACCCGTTTGTGCTCTGCATCACTTCAGATGCCTATGGGCCGAAAATACAAGGTGGGTGTGGCGACACCACTGCAGGGCTGGGGTGAGATGCAGAGCAAGAGCAGGGCTTGGGATGTGGAGTCTTAAGGACTGTGGTGGGGAGTGCAGAGACTCTGCCTTCAGGCCCAGAGAGGGCAAGCCATCCACCAAGGCTACACAGCAGGGTTAGGAGCTAGGCTGAGGTCTCTCAGGATACAACTAGGGGTTCTGAAGGAGGAGGAAGACCGAAAGTGTGATTCGGACGTGGATCATCCGCAGCGTGAGAAGCTCCTGTGGCTCTGAATTTCACAGTCAAGAGGTTTAATAAGCAGATTTAGGGAGTTCTAAATGTGGGAAGAAATGTCCAACTTGGGTTTTGCTGTATCCCATCTCCTCTTAGATCAAAGCAAGTCTCCTTTAGCAAGGAGAAAACGTTTGGGAGGGCCTGCCCCTTACTTCCTCATGCACCCTAATTATCAGGGGAGCAGGGGGAAAGACTTCAGCCCCTCCTTTGGAATAATTGAGGTCCCAGGGAAGGAAGGGGGTTATTGTCTCGAGTTTAAATGGCGGGTTCCCCTTCAGCAAAACCAGCACGGCCCCCGTCCGGCCCCCGGAGGGTCTGTAGGCCCTCTCACCAAAAGACAGCGCCCGCTGGGGGCGGTCTCAGGGCCTAACACGGAGGTCTCCGCACGCAGGTGGTGTGAGCAGGGATGGAAACTTGAGAGGATAAAAGGATAAACATCTACCATCGGCTGAACGCCAGGAATGCGCGGGAAAATTCAACAAATAAAGTCACCCACCCCACACAAAGGGATGCTACCGCTCGCTGGCCCTGCCTGCTTGTTTGGGGCTGAAGCAGCGAGAAAAGATGCCCTCTGCAAAGACGGGGCGGGAGTGTGCGTCACGACTCGGCGCCCTCCGCAGCGCCCAGCGCCCCGCTCACGGCCCCCGACGGGGGCACTCTGTGAAGTCAGAGGGCAGCGCGCGTGCCAGCTGCCTCACAATGGCCCTGCGCCTTGCCCAGGCCACGCAGGCAGAACGTGCCAGGAACGAAAAGCAAGCTCGGCCTCCCGGCCGCTCCCACCCCGTTCTGCCAAGCCTGGAAGAAGGCGCGCGAGCGGGCGGGAGAGGAGGGGCACGCTGTGGCCAGCCTGGAGCATCCATGCGTCTGGGATCAATAAACGGACCTCCGGTAGCACCCCCTTGGACCGCGGGGAAACACCAGCTCAGGTGGGAGAGGGCACTGCGTCCCCAATGCCTGCCCTCAACCCCAAACCCTGGGCAGCCCCCATCGGGTTGGGGTCACCCTCTGCCGTGGAAGCCAGGGCGCCCTGATCACAAGGTTGGGGAGAGCAGAGCTGAGGGAGCCCATGTTTTCTCTGCAGGAAGACTTCCAGCAGGCGGGGCAGAGCGCCCCCCCCCCCAGTCCCCAGCAGCTGCGCCCCGCCCACTCGAACCACTCCCCCCTACTAGTGCTCCCCGTAGTGTCCATCTTGGTTCTCTTGCTAGGCAACCTTGAAACACGCCCTGTACTCCATCCTCCTCCCCAAGTTCCTTTTTAAAAATTTTTGTGCTAGGCCTAGGTTGGAACTATGTGCACCGTAACCTCAACCAAACATGCTAGCATGGGCAGCTTGATCTCAATCAAAAACTACAAAAACCAAAAAAATAAAACCTGTTTCCTGCCAAGCCTCCTCTCCCCGCAGGGGACCTGCCAGGGAAGGCTCCTGAGTGGGCACTGAGAGGTATGAGCCTGAGCAAGAGTAGCAGCTTGCATTTCACCCAGAGGACAGAACTGAACTCCAGCTGCTCATGGGTATAGCCGCCTACTAAGGCTCATGGGCTTGAGGTCCAGCTCAAGTCACTGGAGATACTCCCAACAGTACCCTCCTTCCAGCCCTCTCCCGGCCTGCCTGGCATTTGTGCCTCTGGCAACCTGCCTGGCACACCATCCCACAATCCTTAGGGTTCTGTTAGTTTTGCTTTGAGTCTGTGATGGTACTAGGGTTTGAACTCAGGACTTCTGGTGTGTTTGCTAGACACTCTCCAGTTTAGCCATGTCTCCAGCCCCACAATCCCGTTTCACCTTCATTTACCTACTTCAGTTTCTGGGCTCAGTAAGGCACTGGGGTACTGATTTAGAGAAGGCCACTCCAGAAATGGCTAACAATTAAGTGGAAGACAACTTGTTTGAAGCTGAGCATAAAACCACAGGACCTACCTCTTTGAGTCTATTTCATCTGGTTTTTAAAAGAGGGTTACTAAAGGACAGCCACCCACTTTGTCATATCATTGCTAAATGACTCCATGACATTGCCTAAATGTTCTTAACTATATATATGGTAGATATATGCATGCAATGGAGGGAAGCCAGGAGGAAGAACAGAATAAGTGGGAAGCAGAACAACATACAACAAAGGGGCCCATCAGCTGTACTGGACATAGAAGAAAAGGAACTAAGCAACCTAAAGACAGCAATGGGAAGGGAGGAATGAGAGGGAGAGAACAGCATACACTAAGCAAAAGGAAAGAAATGTAATCACCTGATGTGGAAGAAATAATTGTACTGTCAAAGCTCATAGAATTCACAAACTTTATAGACCGTGATAATGACAATTTGCCTTGTGAAGGTTAAAATGTTTGTGACTTTAACTAAGTATCACTATTCCACAAGACATAGATGACAATGTTGTCAGACACCTTGCACTCATACTGTTTTATAGAATGGGAACTTCTTTGTACAACTACTTAAAGATATAATAAAAAAATAAAAATAAAAATAGAGGGCTACTAACACCTCTCAAAAGGCTTGAACCAAATTTAGGCTTATGAAGCCAGTTGTAGTGTACTGAATGATGTGTGGCCTCTTCTAAAGCATCCTTCCTGGCCCTACACAGTAAGAAAACCCCAAGGCAGGTCCTTACTTAGAAGCAGCACCCTAACTGCTCCGTTTTAGGAACCAACTGCTGGATCCCCAGCAAACCCAACTGTTTAGGGTTGAGGATGTATCTCAATGGTAGAATGTTTGTCTAGCATTTGCAAAGCTCTGGGTTCCAACCCCAACTCTAAGGAGAGCGGAGGGGGGGGGGGGGCTGTGTTCACATTTAGTCTTTTGATAAAATACTATTTATATTCCTGAGACTGTCCCTATTTCCTGGATCAGGAAATTAAACAATTGGAATGTGAGCTGGGTGCAGCAGCTCTTGCTGTAATCCTGGCTATTCAGGAGGCTGAGAACTGAAGGTCGTGGATCAAAGCCAGCCCAGGCAGAAAACTCTGAGACTTTTTTTTTTTAATTGGGGGGGGGGGGGGGGGGAGGTCCGGTCATGGAGCCTAAACTCTGGGCCTGGATGCTGTCCTTCAGCTCTTCAGCTCAAGGCTAGCGCTCTACCACTTGAGCCACAGCGCCACTTCTGGCTTTTTTCTTTTTGCTTATGTGGTGCTGAGGAATCGAACCCAGGGCCTCAGGCATGCAAGGCAAGTGCTCTACCACTGAGCCACCTTCCCAGCCCAACTCTGAGACTCTTATCTCCAATCACCTACCAAAAAGCAGAAAGTAGAGCTATGCCTCAAGTGGTAAAGTACTACCTTGAGCAGAAAAAGCTGAGAGATAGCGCTCACACCCTAGGTTTAAGCGTCAGTACCAGCACAAAAAATAAAATTAGAATGTAAAAACGAGGTTTTTGAGGCAGACAAGACTAGCCTTTTCTTATTCGATGTTGGGAAAAGGTGTTTCCTTTGCAAAAGGGAGACACAGGTAGCAGTTCTTACCACACAGAATATTAATGAACCACTCAGTAAGGCCTGGCTACATCACAGCCAAATCTATGTCCTACCTAACATTAGGAAACACAGGGTCAGAAGAAAGCTGTCTCCTGTAAGTAGGAGGAAGCCTAATAACGATAAAAGAATTATGGAGTACTTCCAGAAAGGAAAGCTAAATGCTTTACCCATGACTCATAAAACCCTCATAATAACCCACGGAAGTTAAGTGTAATCTGCCTTTACATACCCTAGACTTCTGCATCCTTGCAATCAACCAAGAACAGATAGAAAATTTGAAATAAAATTTTTGTCCATTCTGAACATGTAGACTTTTCTTCTTGTTAATTCCTAAACATGTGACAGTGAAACAACCACTTACAGAGCATTTATATTGTATTGTCTACTTTCCTACAATCATTTGAAATTTCTAGCAATTTATTATACTCACTTTGTTAAATAGCTAGTAATGTTTATAAAACACTATTCACCTTCAGTGAATTTTTTTAAAAGTGCTTTGTTTTTAAAACAATACAGTAGGGGGCTGGGAAGGTGGCTCAGTGGTAGAGCGCTTGCCTTGCATGCATGAGGCCCTGGGTTCGATTCCTCAGCACCACATAAGAAAAAAGAAAAAAGCTGGAAGTGGCGCTGTGGCTCAAATGGTAGAGCGCTATCCTTGAGCTGAAGAGCTGAGGGACAGCGCCCAGGCCCAGAGTTCAGGCCCCACGACCGGACCCAAAAAAAAATAAAAATAAAAAAAACAATACAGTAGGGTGGTAGCAGCTCATGCTTGTAATCCTAGCTACTCTCAGGAGGCTGAGATCTAAGGATCATGGCTCAAAGCCAACCCAAGCAGGAGAGTCCATGAGAAAATTAACCAAGAATCTGGAAATGGAGTTATGGCTCAAGTCATAGTGTCAACCTTGAGCACAAAAGCCTAGGCCCCAAGTTCAAACCCCAGTACTGGCACCAAGAAATAAAATACAGTAGGGTGAAAACTATGATTATAAAGTGATAGACTATTTAAGCAGTCAGAACATACACATCTCTAACTACTGACCTCTGCAGAGTGAACTGATTAATGTCACCACCGAAGTACCAAAAAAGTCCACCTGGCTCTTTAAAAATTAACCATGGGCCAAATGCCGGTGGCTCATGCCTATAGGCCTAGCTACTCAGGAGGCTGAGATCAGAGGATCACAGTTCAAAGGCAGCCCAGGTAGCAAAGTCTGTTGAGACACTTATCTCCAACAAAACTACTCAGAAAAAGCCAGGAGAGGCACTGTGGTTCAAGTGATAGAGCACTAGCCTTGAGTAAAAGCAGCTCAGGGACAGTGCACAGGCTTAATTCAAGCCCCAGGACAGGGGGGAAAATTTTTTTTTAAGTAACCATGAGTAAATTCTTTGCAGTGTCCTCCTTATCTGTAAGATACAGACAATGGAATTTCCCACTTAGGAAAGGAAACAAAGCCTTTACCTTTTAAAAGGTGGATATTAAAATGGCAAGTACTGCTACCAATGCATAGTCCTTTCAACTGCTACTACTTCAGGAATTTTAAGAATCTTGATTGTGACTGTCACTCAGTTCAGCCACGGAATCACGAAAAACTAAAAACCTCAGTTCCTCTAATTGTTGGCAATTTCCTAATATTCAAGGTACACCGACTTGCCATCACAGAAAACTGGCAGAAAAGACATGACACAAGGAAATCCCAGAGTTGTTTCTACCACAGCCCACCAAAGGAGACAGCAGCCACAGGAGCCTTTCAGTACAGGCCCAGGGCTGAAGACTGGCTGGGAGAGAGGCACTCACCCAGCTGCTCTTACCACCTGGCCCAACAGCCAGGAGTACTGCATCCCCTTAACTGCTGCCTTCCATCTTGGCCACAGCAGAGTTCTGGCACTTTCCCAGCCTCAGCCTAGGTTTTCTCCCACACCTTCATCACACCAGCCTCAACATTCTACGCCTCAGGGCTGACAGCCAGGTGGTGAGAGCGGCTCCTTAGGGAGACAGCAGAACCCACCGATATCATCCTAACACTGAAAGCTGAAAACTGAGTGCTAACTTGGGCAAGTCCCAGAGAAACAAGAGGAACATGATGACCTCAAAGCACAAGTGAGGCTAACGCAGTGTGCTCCATTGCACCTGTTTAGAAATAATCATGGGGGTGAGGGGGAGGGTAGCTTACTAAGGGCATAGCAGAGGTGGCTGCAGATGTAGGAGGTACGATAGAAGAGTTCCAGGTATTTGTGGGTTTTTTGAGTAAGGGTTTATGTAGCCCAGGATGGCCTGGAACTCACTATGGTCTTGAATCTTCTTGCCTCAGCCTCCTGGGTGCTGGGACTATAGGTAAATACCGCTATGCCCAGCCTAGTACTTAGTATTTAAACTAAAAAAAGGAGTAACACCAGGACCCAAGAAAGGAAAAGGCAGCCTCATAATCCTTTATAGTGCTCATCTAGCTGTGCTCAATCTCTCAGTCCCAACAATAGCATTACAAAGTACAGGCAGACCTTGGAAAATACTGTATTTATGTACATAGGAAGAACAGCGGTAAGCCTCGCAGAAAAGCTCCACACCACAGGAAAATCATAGCTGCAAATTCCTGTCTCTATCAACACCATCGCAGCGGAGCCTGGGCTGGAAAGTTGGGGCTGTTTGATCTCTGAGTATCCATCATACTGTTCCCATAGAAGAATATTTATTTATTTTATTTATTTTGTTGGTCATGGGAGGGCTTGAACTCTGGGCCTGAGTGCTGTCCCTCAGCTCTTTAGCTCAAGGCGAGTGTTCTAACACTTGAGCCACAGTGCCACTTCCTAGAAAAAACTTTTAATATGAAAAAGAATCTGCAGTGGGATACGGGTGCCCAGTTGTTCCCAGAGACAGGCCGTGGCTTTATTCTGGGGGTGAAATCAGAAGGGATGCTGGAATTCTTCTCTGGGTCCCACGGCCTGCTGCACTGAAGGCTGGCAGCGGAGCGGGGACTGGGCAGAGAGAAGTAGAAGTCAGTCATGGGTGCTGGGGTGTGCGCGCGCGCACGCACACACGCACACACGCGCGCACACACACACACACACACACACACGTTTTCCTTATGCGTGATGCCTCTGTCTGCCATCCTCTGACAGCAGGCTAGCACTTTGCACCTATGTCTCTGTGTCTACGGATCCATAAATCAAGTTTTTCTCAAACACAATCACTGTGGTTCAGCAACAAGGCAAAAGTTACAGCTGTCCCGAGGTGGGTGGGGAGAGTGGTTTGCGCCAATCAGATATCCTTGATTTTTTTTTTTTTTTGTTAAAACAACAGCTGGTGATAGATATGATGGCTCGGGTGACAGAGCTCCAAATCTGTTATGCCTTCAGAGAGGTCTCCTTTCTGACCTCTGAGGCTTCAGCAGACAGAGGCCATTCTTGCAGCTGTGATCCTGGCTGCTACCTGCCTGCTTGGTGGGGCCTCACTGGCTCTCCACCCACAGAAACTTCACATTTCCAGGGCTCCTCTCAGACCTGGGCTGGCCCTCATCTGGAGGCTCTGAGCAGCCCAACGTGGTTGGGGGCTAAGTACCAGAGTGGTTGTCCAAAAGGCCCCATTCTAGACATTGGATTTAGGGGCTGAGTTGAGAGGGATCTCCTTGAGTTCCGTCCGCATGCACAGGTACTCCCCGATGACAGCCATGAGTGCAATGCACACGGCTTGGACCAGCCACCAGGTCAACGCCGAAGGGAAACGGGAGCTGTAGAACCAGCAGCCCAGGAGGTGAAAGAAATGAACAGTGACAGTGAAATCCAGACACTGCTTCCCTCGCCGGATGAAGTACAGCAAGCCCAGGGCACTGTGGGGAAAGGACAGCAGCGTGTTGTCACTGGGTTGTCCTGGCCTTACTGGGGGGTGGGGAGTTAGGACAGCATAGCAGTCAGAAGCGATCTATAAGTGGGCAGGCAAGGGATGTGGTGTTAGATGCCTGGCATCAAGAGCGGACCAGTCAAGTGCTGGTGGCTCATACCTGTAATCCTAGCCACTCAGGAGGCAGAGACAGGCAAGAAACACTATGAGACTCATATCTCCACTTAACTACCAACAATGCTGGAAACAGAGCTGTGGCTCAAGTAGTAGAGTGCTAGCCTTGAACAAAAGCAGCTCAGGGACAGTGCTCAGGCCAAGTTCAAACTCCAGGACTGGCACCAAAAAAAGTGGATCAGACTGAGAAGAAACAAAGGATAAGCCTGAAGATAGATGGCAGCTATCCCTGGGGAGTGCTGGGGATTGGCAGGGTACCTGAAAGCACACTAAGGGACAACACACACTTGCATCTAGGCAAATCCTTACCATGCCAGGGTAGCCTGGAATCACATGATCTTCCCATTATTCAAAAGAAAAACCACAAATCTAAACTTTTCCAAAACATACTTTCAACCCAGTGAAAAAATTGTTTTAAACACCATGTGTGTGCTGACATACATATAAGCCAAACAAAATACACTTGGGAGACAAATTTAGGTCAAAGCCCACCAGTTTTCAAATATTTTTCTGTTCTAAGTACTTCCTATGGATTCACTAATTTAACCTTCACAGCTATGGGATAAGTAATACGCTTAGGGCCATTTTCCTGATGAGGAAACTAGGGCTTAGAAACTAGATGACCTAATCCAAAATCACTAGACTAGCGGTACAGCTAAGACTCAAAGCCAAGTGAGTCTGCATTCCAGCCTCAGATCTCAATGCTAAACTGTTCTTAAGGAGCAATGCTCATGAGTAACCTTACCTAGCCCAGCCCCTGAAGACACATAAGAAGCCTGAGGCTAAGTAAGGAGAGAAAGGAGTTGGCCTATGTCACGGGGACCAGGAATAGAAGCTAGTTGTCCTAACTCCAGTAGGATTCTTCACCTAACACCACATCAGAGAAGTGATTAGAGACAGAAGCCTTCAGGCAGGCAACACACAGCAGAAGAGCTTTGCACCTAAGTCAAAACAGCAGGGGAAGGAGTCCCATAGCAGAGCTGTTCCCAGAACTGGCCTCGTACACCACTTTATCAGTCTCCAGCCACAAGTGCTAGCGTGTCTCTTGTCCAAATTTAGGAAGTTATTAGTCTCAGTAACTAAGACCCAAAAGCTGGATAGCAAAACTAGCGATACTCACCAGGTGAGGGCGTTGAGGATAAAGGACATCATGGAGAGCCGGCCTGGAGGTGTAGAAAAGCCCAGGATCTGAGGAGAGAATCAGAAATGGAAATATGCTGAGCAGCGGCTCCCAGATCCCCAGGCTCCAGAATCCCAGCAGAACACCTTGGAGGTGTTCATCTGTATAGCAATCTATCTCCTATAAGGGCTTTTCACACACATCTATTACTGTATCTCATTTGATCCTCACAGTATGTAAGAAGGCATCATTCTCATTTTACAATGAATGATATAAAAGCTCAGAGAAGTAGAGTTGCTCAGAGTGATACAGTAAGTAAAACAAACAGCAAGTATACATAAACAAACAATAAGATATAGAAGGGGGAAGAGTTCAGCAAATGAAGGCCAAGCACCTGTTTTTGTAAATAAAATTTTATTGAAACACTGCCCCACAATTATTTACTTACATACTGTCTATGGCTGCCTTATTTATTTTGTGGCCAGTTTTGAATTCAGAGCCTTGCACCTTAGTTTGCCTGCTCAGTTGACATTCTACCACTTGATCCATGCCTCTAGACATGTGGTCTCAGGGACTTTTTTGCCTGGGATAGCTTTGAACTGTCAGCCTCCAGCTCCCATGCTCCTAAGTAGCTAAGATCACAAGCATGAACCACCACACTTGCTATGGCTGCTCAATGGCAGAAATGAGTAACTATAACCTTTCGTAAGTTTGCTGACCTGTGGCCTAGAACTCAGATCACTCTTTAACAAACCCAGGATTTCTACATGCACTTCCTAAGAGGACCAAGGCTCCTAAGAAGCTACTACCCTTGCCCAAGATACAGATGAAATGTCCACTAGCCCTGACACAATACTGCTGAATGCCAAACATCTGTCTCCCATGTTAAGCTTACGAAGGCCTCTGACATCCTAAATCTCTGATTATCCTTACAAAATCCTTGAGAAGCGTTTCATTACTACTAGTACTTTTATTACCACCTCTTTTGGGGTAATAACTTGTTCAATAGCTATGAAAGAATAAGCAGCAAGTGTGAGGACTAGTCTCAGGTCCGATAGTTAGAAAACCGATATTCATAACCTGTATTACAGCTGCCTCTTGGTCCCATTACACTCTGGAAACGGCTGATTCCCAAGCCCCTTGGGGACTCCTCACTTTTAACTAAGGATGACATGCCCACTTTCCAGGAAAGTTGGAGCTACCTGCCCAAGTTTGCACAGCTGGTATGTCTGGGGCTACATTGAACTGTCATCCTGAGATCTTTGTATTGTAGTTCACCATCTCTAAAATGCCAGTCCCGTCATTTCGCTGACAAGGAAAGGTAACATCAGCTACAAATCGCACAGCAAATAAAGTAGGATTTATAGAGGCATGTGTCCAGGCAGCTACCATTGTCACCCCGTGAAAACGTGGCTCAGGAAGTGAAGCTGCTTTCCCCAGAGTCTCAGACAGGAACTGGATCAGGTTTGCCTAGGACAAGGATACCTTTGCACCCCACCCTCGGGTCTCACTGTCACTCCGTTTGAAGAATGGCAGCTGAGGCTTAGCAAGGGGTGTGGAGGGGGCGCGGGAGAAGGGGGGACACTCCCTTTCTCAGAGGCACAAAGCAAGAAGGCAGAGCTCGGAAGTGTCAGACGACAAAAGCTTACTCAACTCCGTGATGCCAAGACCTCCCCCCGCGCCAGCCCGGGGACTCTCTACCTCCGCGTCGAACATCTGGTCCAGCGACGGGCTGCTTCGCACCAGCGCGTCCACGAGCGCCAGCCACAGGCCCAGCGAGCCGTAGTAGACGGTCTGCATGAGCACCATCTGCGCCAGGATCAGCAGCGGGTCCCACACGTAGCTGCGGAACTGGCCCGCCATGCCGGCCCCGGGGCCCGGCCGCCGCCCGCGCCTCGGTCAGCGCCCCCGCGCCATGGGTCTCCTCCGGTCACCCCGCCACCTGCGGGGACACGAGCCGAGCCTCAGCCCGCCCGCCGTCGCCTTGGCAACCGCTCTGCCAGGGAGGGAGAGCCTGGGACCCGGGGGGGGGGGGGGGGAGGCCGGCCCGAAGGTGGCGAAGGCGGGGCGGGCCGACCCATTCCCGGAGAGAGGGGGGAGGCCGGCCCCTCCGACCCACTCGGCCCCACCCCGGCCTGCACGCGAGCTTCTCCTGGGCTTTCACTCACCCGGCGCCGGGCGCGAGGATCGAAGCGTCCGAACGTGGCCCGGCCTCAGCCCGTGGTCTCCCGAAACAGCGCAGACGGACGGGACCACGGAGCAGAGGCCCCAGCGGGCCTAGAGAGGCCAAGCTCCGGCTACCCGAGGAGCCACTGAGGCTGCGCGGAAGGCGCTTCCGGGACGGAAGTGGAGGGGCGGGGCTAAGACTCCGCAAATGCAGTGGGTGCAACCCTACTGCAGACTACGAAACGGAGGGGCGGGCTTAATATTGCACAGGCACACGGAGGGCCGCCTACGCCTGCTCCGGAGCACGGGCCGTCGGGAAACGAGCCGTGCACATGCGCAGATGAGGAGCGAAGTTGACTTAAGGTGACACGAAAGCTGTAGAGCTTGCGCGCCCTCTAGAGGGAAATCGAGGGGAGTGGTGGAGAAAACTACCGAGGGGAGAGAGAAGGAGGCGTCGGGGTAAGAGAAATGCAGTTAGATTATTTTCAGTTTACATTTCCAATGTTTTTGTTTTTCCTCCAATTTAGAGATTAGGAATAACTTGCACTTACAAGCTCTTCTGCATTTTGTTACCACTGTTTTCTTTATAACAAGTGATGGAAGACCAGAGAAAGGAATCAATGTATTTAGTGGCAAAATCAGAATTAGAATTCGGTTGTTTGAAAACACTACTATGCTGTCCTGGTACTCGCCCGTTGCTAGGAAGGTTAGAACATACGAGACAACACAGATCCTGGCATTCCGGGGCAGAGTGCTGGGTGTTTTATAATGTGGTTATCCAATGGGAAGAAAGTACAGGCTCTGAAGTCATGCCCAGGGTCAAATCCTGGCCTTGCCTGCTGTGATTATTTTATCTCTGCCTTCTCTGAGTCTGAATAGTGGACAGTCAGTAAATATTTGCCCGAATGAGTCAAGAACAGAGAAAGGGCAACAGCAAACGGATGACTCACTTAATTCCTGTCCCTAAAGACCAACTCTCCAACTTCATCAATTCAAGTTTAATCTTCCTGGGAGTGGAAAGAAGGGAAGTAGCTGGTTCTAGGAAAAGGAATTTGGGCTTAGAGCCAGTTCTATCACTTACTAGCTGTGCGACCAGAAAGCCACTTCCGTCTTTAAACCTCAGCTTCCCAGTTTATGAAATGAGGAGTTAGACAAGATTTACATTTTTCCAGCATTGAATTACACTCTACGACTTATTTTCCCATTAAAAATTTATCAAAGTCCAGTGTAACTGCCAATCTCAATTTCCGAACAGCATATGATAACTATGTTATCACCTTGATGGATACTATTCCAGACAAAAATAAAGAAATGAGATTTTACTCAAGAGTAGTTCCTCTTTTTTAATTTAAATTTTATTGTAAAGATGTACAGAGGAGTTACAATTATATAAGTAATATAATTAGTACATTTCTTTTTTTTTTTTTTGGGTCCGGTCCTGGGGCCTGAACTCTGGGCCTGGGCGCTGTCCCTCAGCTCTTCAGCTCAAGGCTAGCGCTCTACCACTTGAGCCACAGCACCACTCCAGCTTTTTTCTTTTTTGTTTATGTGGTGCTGAGGAATCGAACCCAGGGCCTCAGGCATGCAAGGCAAGCACTCTACCACTGAGCCATCTTCCCAGCCCTACACTTCTTTTTTAACAATGTTACCCCTCCCTCATTTTCTCCCACTCCCCCCCCCCACAAACTCTCCTGTCCCCCAAGTTGTAAAGTTCATTTCCAACATAGTGTCTGGTAAGTATAGCTTAATTTCTCTTATCTTTGGAAACAAGCTAAACAATCACTTGGACTCTAGCTTGGAAATGATTAAGATCCAAAGATTTCCAAGGTGTTTCTAATTCAACCATTCTTTTAGGGACGTCAATTCAATTCAACACACACATATTCAAATTCCTCCTATCCACCAATCCGTGCATAGGTCATATGATCCACTGTTTGTGAGAAAACATTTTCTGTTTGTCAAGTGCCAACATGACCTAGTTTAATCCTTACAATCCAAGAAGGTAGATGACTACCCTCTGCCCACCCCATACAGATGAGGAAACCGCTGTGAGACTTAAACTTAGACATATGACTCCAAGCACCAAATTCCATTTCGGAAGACAAAAAAAAAAAAAAGGAAGGAGACAGTGAAATAGTTGTGGTAAGTAGAAAATAATCAGTTGAATCTTTTCACTCAGATAGCCCCAGGTAATAGATCAGGGAGATGTGAGGAGAGAAATTTGACTTAATTACCCCAGGCAGGTCTATCTTCCTTCCAGTACTGGAGACTGCTCCCCCTCAGGTCACTGCTGGGTCCACTCCACCCCATCTTATGCCTCCCACCCCCAGGTAAGGAGACTCTCATCCATTTTCCTGAAATGGAAAACATAGGTAGCCTGGAGTTAATGTATGATGTCATCCCAAGAACCTGCCTCTGAGAAAAACCCCACTGCCAGTTTGCACTTTTCCATTTCCTTTTCCCTTTGGAAGTTCACCTGTTGAGTTCCCACTTTGTCGAGCCCTGGAAATGGGCACCATCTGGGTCTTAATCTGAATACAACAAGGAAACCAAAAGCTAGGGTAAACCAGGGCAGCTCCCTTGGCCAGCTTCCTTGGCCTATTTGTGAAATCAAGTAGCCTAGTTGAGAGCACAAAACCTGAGCAAGAACATCACGGAATTGCTGTGTGACTTTGGGCAAGTCCCGGTTGGGTTTTAATACCTCAAACTACAAAATGAAGGAGTGGCATTGGATGCCAACTTCCAAATGCAATCCATGGCCCTGTGCCATCTGAATCACCTAAGGAACATATTACACATCCAGTTTCCTTGTTGCAAAAGTCTAAATCTTCAAAAACAGAGTGCAGAAATCTGTACACACACACACACACACACACACACTAATACTGAGGCTCAAACTCAGAGCTACCTGTATGCTAGGCAAGCATTCTCTTAACCAGCTACATCCCCAGCTAATATCCATATATTCAAGCTAGATATACAGGTACACACCTATAATCCCAGCACTCTGGAGGCTGAGGCAGGAAGCTCATAAATTCCAGTCTAACTTGAGTGTAATGGACACTATCTCCAAAGACATTAAAAAGGGGGGGGGGGGCAGCGTGGATCTGGGGGAGGGATTGTTCCTCAAAGTGCTTACACAGCAATCAGGAGCCAGGTCCCCTGGGTGCAATCTCCACTAGTACAAAACAAACAAAAAGGCCCCTGTCCAAGTGTCTTAGAAGCACAGTCAATTTGGTAACCACAGAACAAGATGACCCAAACCAATTCTCCATTTAACAGAAATTAGTTTTTCTCTGTGACCTTGACATGTCCACAGCTCTCATTGGCCTCCAGGGTTTGTTTTCTCGATCTGTAACTTGAGGGGTAGACTAGAATAGCTGGTCTCTGAGGGCCCTTCCCACAGTGCCAAGTCTGTGGTTACAAACTTATGAATGAAATTTCAACTTTAGGTCAGGCAGAGTGACGAAGAGCCCCAAGTTGGGACAAACTGTCCTCTGGATGGACAGGAAGGCAACTACCTCAGGTCACTTAGTCACTCATGTTTTTCCCTCACTCATGTCATTCCCACACCGCTGTGAACACGTAAGGACAACTACCGGGGTCAGTTTCTGATCCATGCACAGAAGTTCTGTAGGAAATGTTCTTATATGGCTCTGTGGGCTTTAGAGCCCTGCTTAGATTCAAATCCTGGTGCTACTACAGTCTTGAGGAAGGTTATTTCATCTCTCTCAGTCTTGTTAGTTTTTTTAAAAATGGGCATCAAGCTGGCTCACGCCACTCAGGAGGCTGAGATCTGAGGATCGAGGTTCAAAACCAGCTTGGGCAGGAAAGTCCGTAAGATTCTTATTTCCAATTAATTACCAGAAAACCAGAAGTGGTTTTGTGGCTTAAGTGGTGGAGCTCTAGCTTTGAGGTGAAGAGCTCAGGGACAGCGGTGACCAGGCCCAGAGGTCAAGCCCCAAGACCAACCAAAAAAAAAAAAAAAATAGCACCCAAATGCATGCTTAGCTCACTACCTGATAAGTCCTCTGTGCTATGTAAATGTTAGCAATATTAATTATTGTGATTATTCCTTCCCTTGGAATGTGGGAGTAGAAATATTTGAGTTTTATGTCAAGGATCTTACTGGGTGTCAGACTGAGCCAGGCAGCTGGAAGAGAGGAGGTCAGTAATTTTGTTTCTTTCTTCCTCATCTCACTCTTACTCCCAAGATTCAGCAGCTCCCTTCTTCCCTCCCTCTCTCCTTCCCTCCCTCCTTCCCTCCTTTTGATTACTTCATTGCCTTGCTCACATGTTTCTTTTCGGAGAATAGATTATGAAAGTCTCTTTTCCCCCTCTTCAGAGCCATGTCTTGGAACAGGTTATGCAACTCTCTGTGCTCAAAATTTTTGGAAACTCCATGTGGGAGGCTGGCATTTGGCTGCCTGTCGTCCAGATGTGGGACAGTCCTGGACTCTGGCCAGTAAGTTCCGCTCTTAGAGTGGAAACTTGGGGGGGGGGGGGAGAGAGAGAGAGAAAAAAAAAAAAACTGAACTCATTGGCTGCCTTTCTCCTTCAGACTGGGAACCTTTTGTTATCCGGACTGCTTTAGGACTGTATTTGAGGAGGAGCATTTGCTGAGCAACTACTTGTTTCTAAAACAAGCCTATAAGTTGTAGACACTATTTTTTTTTTTTTTTTGTCGGTCGTGGGGCTTGAACTCTGGGCCTGGGCGCTGTCCCTCAGCTCTTCAGCTCAAGGCGAGTGCTCTACCACTTCCAGTTTTCTGGTGGTTTATTGGAGATAGGAGTCTCATGGTCTCTCCTGCCCGGGCTGGCTTTGAACCGCGATCTTCAGATCTCAGCCTCCTGAGTAGCTAGGATTACAGGCGTGAGCCACCAGCGCCCGGCTGTAGACACTATTAATAGTCATGTTTAGCCGATAAGGAAGTTGGGGCTCAGAGAAGGGACACTGTTTACCCAAAGCCATATTGCTAGTGAGTGATAGAGGTGAATTCCAACCCAAGGGCAGACTCTACACATCACCTCTTCCCTTCCAGATAAAATGCACAGGAGATTACACTTTATACACTGTATGTAAATCTGTGTGTGTGTGTGTGTGTGTGTGTGTGTGTGTGTGTGTGTGTGTGTGTGTGTGTGTGTGTGCTGGGACTTGAATC